CCCTAACATCTGGGATCCCAATTCCCCAAGATCAGTCTTTCCCTAGTCACTGGCTGCTGTGGCTCTGCAAACAGCTGTCCTGTGTCCCTCTGCCTGTTTCCTCATTCAGCACTGACCTCAGCAAGCATCTGAGGCCCAGAGGCAGCATGGCAGGGGCAGGTGGCATGAGCCAGCTTGCACCTTGTCCACATGGTGGCTGTCACTGCTGGTAGGAGATACAAACTGTACAAACCACATAGGACATGGGGGCTGCCGACACTGCTCGTGGGAGGGCACATTTTTGTTTGTTTCTTTTTCTTATGCTGGTACTGGGGCTTGAACTCAGGGCCTAGGTACTGTCCCTTAGCCTTTTCTTCCCTCGGTTGGCACTCTACCACTTAAGTCAAAGCTCCACTTCTGGCTTTTGTACGATTAATTGGAGATGAGAGTCTCATGACCTTTTCTGTCAGAGCTGGCTTTGATCTGCTGTCCTCAGTCCTTAGCCTCCTGAATAGCTAGGATTACAGGCATGAGCCACTGGCACCTAGAAGTGGGAGGTTCTTTTTTTTTTAGGATATTGAAGTTTCTTTATTAAAATTTCAATGTGGGAAAAAGAGACTGCTGAGTTTACAAGATGGCTTACAGTGCTGGACAGTCTGCTTTCACTTTGTCATTGTTCTTACCCTTTCACACTTCAGTGCAAATATGCTACATTGCCCGAATCAGTGGGAGGTTCTTTAAGAGGATGTGTCCAAGCCTAGGGAGGACCAAGGAAGGAGAAGGAAGACCTGCTCCTGACTTGGCTGCAGATTTCTAAGTGGCTGATCAAGCTCTTTTCCCTCTCTGGGCCTCAGTGGACCAGAATGTGTCTAGATTTCCTGTAGACTTGCAGCCTGGCTTTTGAATGCCACTCAATCTGCTGGCCTAAACAAGTGGGAAGCAGTGGGCAGAGAGGGATGGGAAATCACTTGGCCCAAAGTCTGTTCAGTGCCCACAGTCGGTGGGATCTTGGGACCTTGGGACTTGGGTCATCAAAAGGAGAGAAAGACATTAAGACAGAATGACATGGGGCTTTGAGCAGCTGATCCCAAGTTCTGGAGGAGCCTTGTGAGAGATAGCTAACACTGGTGGCTCATGCCTGTAATCCTAGCTACTCAGGAGGTTGCGAAAGGAAAAGAATCTGTTTTAATATCTTCATTGCAGTTTTTCCTGCTTTGTGTCTTCACATGTCCATTTGACATTGAACTCCACAAATTCTGTCATTAGCCCTGCTCATACATTCTCTTTGCATTTCTGTGAGCTTTATTTCATTTTCGATGACTTGCTAACAAGGGTCCTAACTAATTTGGGAACTTAATGTGAAGTTGCTGGTGTTTTTAACTTTATATACATGGCTCTGACTAACATATTCCAAAATGAAGACATAATGTAAAGACTGGGCTTTTATAGATGCAGAAAAAAGGCTCAGAGAGGCTCACTGATACAAGCAAAGGCACATAGCTTCCAAATGCTGCTGAGGTTTGAATAGAGCTCAGTGCCGCTGTAGGAAGTTCACCAGAACTTTCTGTGACCATAGAACTGTACTATGAATATGTGATCCAATATGGTAGCCATGGGCTATTGAGCCCTGAAAATGTGTCTAGTATGACTAACAGAATTTAATATTTTCAGTTGTTTTACTTCATTTTTTATAATTCAATTCTTTATTAAATATGATTTGTTGTAATAATAATAAAGGTGATGAATGGAGGGGTTACTTTTTCATGTGTCGGTATGAGTACAATGTCACCCTTTCCTTCCCTCTCTCCCCATTTTTCCCTTCCGTCCCCACCCACAAGTTGTATAGTTCATTTTCAGCAAGTGTCTAGTGAGTACCACTGCTGCATTTGTTCACCCTTTATCACTCCATTTCTGTACCTCCCCTTAGCCCCTTCCCCAAAGACAAATAAATGAACAAACAAGACAAAAAGAAAAGAAACCCTCATTTCTATTTCCTGGAGTTGATTTCATTTATTTTTATTTTTTCCAGAGCTGAGGAGCGAACCCAGGGCCTTGTGCACGCCGGGCCGGGCGCCCTTCCATTGGGCTAAACCCCCAGCCCCTCCTGGAGTTTATTTCAATAAATATTATTTTATATGATCAGAGGGACATAGGCATTGTGCCTTTGTGTTTTTCCCCTAAGAGTCCTCCTTTGGCTCGCTGTATGTGAATGCCATCAATATAAGAGAGATGAGCGTTATAAGATTTGACTGTCCGGATCTGGACCTCGCTCCCTGAGCTTGGTGACAGATCCACAGAGAGCAGAGGGAGGCTGGATTGCTTCCCAGTTCCCATGGGAGGGCATGGCCCTTCCTGATGAGTGTGCATGGAGGAGCTGGAGCATCCAGACCCAGGATCCTGGCACTTAGTAGGTGTGCAGCAAAAAGCAGCGGCCATGTCTCCTTGGTCCTCAGACCTGGCATCTGCACGTGACACATGTGGACAGTAGAAGGGGACGAAGGTAGGGGCTGGAGCAAATCTGTCCATCACTGTCCTCCACACTCTGTGGAGAACCTAGCAAGGGTGCAGTTCTGCGTGAGGTCAGGCAGCCCCCAGTGACAAAGCCCCCAGGAATCCACATCCCAGCCCCTCCAGCCCCCAGCACGCTTCCCAGAAAGGCCTCTGGCAAGTTTGGAGGTGGTAGGGAGACTAAGGCTCCTCTAGTACATCTCGGAAAGCACCAGCTGTCATTACCACCATCCTGCCTGCTCAGGCAGTTCAAACCAAATGTGTTGGAACACCTAGTGGAACCCGCTGGTGATTCCTGGGGCTCTGTACCCCACCTCCACCCAGGCCTTTCTTTTGGAGCAAGCCTCCCTCCTGCTGGCCCCTTGCCCAGCACCCCCTCTGGCCACCTGAGGGCTCCAAGCCTTCTTGCTGCCACTTCCCCAGCCTGAGTGGCCCTGGCTTCCAGGCAAAGCTACCCTGCACAGAATTAACACAGGCCTCAACCACAGGTATGCCACGAGAAGAGCTGCCACCACCTTGATCACCCAGATCTGTGCAGGTCGTGGGTGGGAAGAAGCAGGTGAGGGCCAGAGTGTGGAGGGAAGGGTCAGTGGCACTGGTGAGGGGCATTCTGGGAATCAGAGTCTTAGTGCTGGAGGCAGGAACTTCATGGCACAGATGTACTCAGATGTCTCCTAGGCAACTTCCTGATTAGTTAGAAAGCAGGGATTTGTAGGCACCAAAGGTGTGTCAGGGAACTTCTCATTTAAAAAGTCAGAATCAAGGGCTGGGAAGGTGGCTTAGTGGTAGAGCGCTTGCCTTGCATGCCTGAGGCCCTGGGTTCAATTCCTCAGCACCACATAAGCAAAAAGAAAAAAGCTGGAAGTGGCGCTGTGGCTCAAGTGGTGGAGCACTAGCCTTGAGCTGAAGAGCTGAGGGACAGCGCCCAGGCCCAGAGTTCAGGCCCCATGACTGGACCCCCCCCCCAAAAAAAATGATAAGCCTTAGGAGAAAAATGAGGGAAGGGATAACAAGTTTGACAAGAACTGTACTTATTACCTTACTTATGTAACTGTAACCCCTTCTGTATATCACCTTGACAATAAAAAAAAATTAAAAAAATAAGCCTAGTTGGGTACTAGTGGCTTATGACTATAATCCTAACTACTCAGAAGACTGAGATCTAAGGATTGTGGTTCAAAGCCAGCTCAGGCAGGAAAGTCCGTGAGACTCTTATTTCCAATTAACCACCAAAAAACTGAGAATGAAACTGTGGCTCAAGTGGTATTTTGACCTTGATCACAAAAGCTCAAGGACATTGCCCAGGCCCTGAGTTCAAACCCCATAACTGGTTGGCACACACACACACACACATACACTAGGCCTTTGTCAGGTGCCAATGGCTCATGCTTATAATCCTAGCTACTCAGGAGGCAGAGATCTAAAAATCACAATTCTAAGCTGGCTTGGACAGACAAATCAAGGAAACTCTTATCTCCAATTAACAAGTAAATAGCTGGAAGTGGATGTGTGACTCCAGCACCAGGAGATGTAAGCACCAGCACTGAGTGAAAAAATTAAGCAAGTTCCTGAAGCCCTAAATTCAAGCCCCACTACCAGCACAAATGATGATGGTGATGGTGATGATAATGATGATGATGATGATGATGATGATGATAATGGGCCCTGAGAGTCCACAGGGATGCCTAGCCTCAGGCTTAAAGCAGTCCTGAAAATGTACATGCTTAGTCTCAATTGCAGTGAGTAGTCAGATCAGGCCAAAGTCGCAGCTTGACCTGAAACCTACTACACTCCCTGGAGTACTAAGATTGCCTCATGGCCAGCTCTGCAGCCATGGCTGAGGGACTCTGGCCTCTCTCTGTGGGAGTGTGGGGATCAGAATCCGAGGATGGTTGGGGTGAGTCCCCAGGATTAGCAACCACAGGTGACGTATGCGCAGGCCTGGCACACAGAGTGAGGTCCTTCTGCCACCTCCTCTTACTCTTCACTTGCAACATAGAAGATTCATAGCATTAACTCCTTCAGATTGTTGCTAGGATGACATACACTAATAGAAGCAATTTGCTTTCTAAACCTAGTGCACAGTAAGCATGAATTCAGGTTTGTGATTACTGGCATCCTACCCCTTGCTTTCACTTTCTTGAATGAAGCGAGGATAAAACTCAAATGAATCAAGCAGATGTGCCTCATCTTCCTCTCTGCAGTGTCTGCTCCCCTGCCTTGTTCAAGAGGGGGCTTTTGGCTTTGAGATCCTAACTCCCAGACCACATGGCTTGCTCTAATTTCCCAGGCCCTAATCTGCTCCCAGCTCCTAATGATGCGGCTGGTAATAGGATTTCAGCTTCCCTCCGGGCAGCTGCATAGGCCATGGCTGTGGGGCTGGTGACTGGTGCCTAGCCACTCAGCCTACCTGTGTGCTGAGGAGCCAGCACCCCCTGCCCAGACCCTGTGTCCCAACCAGTTGACCTTGCATGGAATGGTGCTGTGCCCCAAGCCAGTAGGCCTGGCTCATCATGGTGCTAGGTCCCGTCCTGGCACGAGGAAAGGCCGTATGCAGGCAGAATGGGCTGCTCATCCTGTCTGTGCTCTCCGTCATCGTGGGCTGCCTTCTTGGCTTCTTTCTGAGGACCCGGCACCTCTCACCGCAGGTCAGGAGGGATGGTTGGAGCCATGGAGATCTGAGCTCTCTGGTTCCATGATGGTTGGGTGAGTCATGTGGCAGCCTGGGTGGTAAAATAAACAGCTGTGGAACTGGTAACAAACCTGGCACAGCCAGGTGATGGGAGAGAGGTCTTCCCCGTTGCAGGGCAGAGCTGTGGTAGAGAGTGGAATCTTCAAAGAACACCTCCTCCAGGCAGCTCACCAGAGGTCTAAAAAGGGCTTCCTAGGCAGCAAAGAGCAAGTTCAAGGCACAGGAGTGTAGAGGATTTGAGATGAGGAAAACAAGTTGTTGGTGGCTTTGGAATGTACAGCTTGGGGCATGGGAATGGTTGGGCGCAAAGGTCTCATTAGTAGACATAGATGTGAGGCCACGATGAGAGGCTTTTAAATGAAGGAGTGACACGGTCAGATGGATATGTTGGAGCATTTCCCCAATGTTGAGCAGATGAGAGGAGTAAAGGGGGTCAGCAAAGGCTGAGGCAGAAAACAACTGCAGAAGGCACGACCTTGGGATGAAATGAGCAGATAGGCTCAGTGCCAGTGGCTTTTGCCTGTAATCTTAGTTACTCAGGAGGCTGAGATCTGAGAAATCATGGTTCAAAGTTAGCCCTGAGACTCCATCTGTAAAACATCCAGCAAGAGTCATGTTGGAGGTATGGTTCAAGTGGTAGGTTGCCAGATGACTCAAGTAAGCACAAGACCTTGAGTTCAAAGTTCAGCACCATTCTGAAAGAGGGGGGAGGAGGCGGAAATTGTCTCAACAGAGGAGCCTTGAAGAGATCACGGCTGACCGGAAGTGGGGTTGGGAGAGAGGTGAGGTAGGCCCAGGATCCCAGCCTAGTTAACCACCACTGTGAGAATGCATTGTCCAGAAACATTCTCTTTCCCCAACCATCAACTCCATCTCCTATGACAGAGTGGTGTAACTCATGAAGTATTATAAGAAATCACTCTGACATTTGTCCAAACAGTAAGGAAGACTTCAGTCAGGATTTTTAATATGTGTTTTTAATTGTAAAAATGCGTAGTTACATAAGTAAGGTAATGAGTACATTTCCTACCGAGCATTGTTACTTCTTCTTTTGTTTTTGCCCAATCATCCTTTCCCTCCCCTAGTCAGGATTTTTTTTTTTTTGGCCTCTGACAGGTGTCAAGGTGTCTTTCTCCTGTGATAGCTGGAGATTTATAGCCAACAAGCAGAGTGACAGGTCAGCACATGGGAAAGGACTCTGAGTGACCTCTTAACTGCTTCCTGAATGTCACTTCCCTCTGTTTCCTGCTTCCCTGTCACAATTGTATGTCCACCACAAACCAACTGATTGTTAAAAGGCTTCAAGACCCGTGTGCTTCTGAATTAACAGTCCTGCTCCATGCTCCTGCCAGATTCCTTCCTCTACCATGACACAAGCAGTCCCAGCTGCTATCTGCCTTGCTTCAGACCTGGTTAGGAGTCTATTTCTCTCACCAGATGGAATTGCCAAACAACTCTGGGATGTTCTTGAAGCAAAATATGAGTATTGTGCAATGTTAGGCACAGAGAATCTTTAACATTTGCTGAATGAAACTGGCTGTGGCACAAGCAGTCTGCAGCCTGCTTTCTTTGATTTCCCTAAGCAGCAAATAGCTATTTCCTGTAGGAAGATTATTTTGTAGAAATAAATTGGAATGCCTATTATAAAAAGCCAAACTCAGCTGGGGCCTCCTGTGGCAAAGCTGCCATCCCCATCTGTTTGGACATGTGAATGTGTTCTGGTGTGGATTAACCTGCCAGATAAACTGAAGGAAGGATGCAGAGTCTTAAAACAATTATCTGGCAGGAGTTGGCTTTCTTAATGTCTTTCTTTGAAATCCAGGATTTCTCTGATCTCTTTGTCTGTGACTCAGATACCAAGTCCCTCTAATTGGGTAGGTTTATACAACAGGCAAAAAAAAAAAAATCAACAATTTGGAAAATGGTTGAATAGTCTATTTGTGAGGGGAACTCACAGAATTATGTGATTTGATCTTTGGAAAAGATCATCTCCTATAAAAAAATATATATAGACCATTTCAAGACTCCCAGCTAAACCTCTGGCAATGACACCAGTTTTCCTTTCCTTCTTGAAAGTCCACTAAAATTGTAACAATGGAATTTTTAAAGGATATAAACCACCCAAATAAAGAGAATATAAAAGGAGAAAGTTGAGAGATTACAACAGATCAGACAACATTGGGAGTGGCTGGAGTTGAATGATTTCATTGAGTAGATTTATGTGTGTCACTTGAGCCACACCCTCAGGGCTTTTGCTTTTTAGTTTGTTTTTCAGATAGGATCTTGAGGATTTTTCTTAAACTAGATCAGCTTCATACTGATACCCTCGTACCTCTATCTCTTGAGTAGTTGAGATTACACACCTGTCCTACCACATCTAGCAAAAGCTAGTATTTTATGTCTATAAAAGTAGATGCTAAGAGGTTTGTCTTACAGAACTCCAGAAGGGCTCTGATTTGGAAGAGCAAGGCATTGTACTAGGCAGAAATGAAGCATGAACTTGAAAGCAGGGGCTTTGTTTGGAATTTTGAACCAAGAGTATTAGAGCCCCAGGGCTCTTCCAGATCAGAGAATTCTTCGCCCTCCAGTCTCAATCTCCTGCCTGCTTAAGGGACCAGAGAGGCTTGACTGGGACCTAAGGCCCACCTATATCTGGTGGTGAACCACATGCTTCAAACTTCTCAGCAGACCCCCACGTTGTGGGTGAGTCATTCTCAGCAAGGCTTCGAGACTAAGGGCAGCTGACATAAGCATGGCCTCATTCCCCAGTGGACTGCTCACTGAAGCCTCAGAGGGAAGACCTCTGAACTTGACTGTACAGGAACATCATATTTATCACCTGTTCTGAGGGATCATCAGTTGACAAGCCTCATTCACACACAGAAATCATTTCATGTTTGTCTTTGGGCAGAAAGATAAAAATCACTAGAAACGTGAGGCAAGTCGTAGATGTGGAAGACAAGAGACTAACCATCGTAAGAGAGTTGGCGATATGAGAGAAGATATAGTTATCATAAAACAGATCTGGATGTGGGGCTTGCGCTGTAGCTCAGTGGTACAGCATATGTTTAGTGCACACAACATTCTCAGTTCAATCCCCATACCACAAAAACAAATAAAAAATCAGAATGGGGCTGGGTACTGGTGGCTCAGGCCTGTAATCTTAGCTACTCAGGAGGCTGAGATCTGAGGATCTTGGTTCAATGCCAGCCTGGGCAGGAAAGTCCATGAGACTCTTTTTTTTGTTTGTTTGTTTGTTTGTTTTGTTTTTTTGGGTCCGGTCATGGGGCCTGAACTCTGGGCCCGGGCGCTGTCCCTCAGCTCTTCAGCTCAAGGCTAGTGCTCTACCACTTGAGCCACAGCGCCACTTCCGGCTTTTTTCTTTTTGCTTATGTGGTGCTGAGGAATCGAACCCAGGGCCTCTGGCATGCAAGGCATGCGCTCTACCACTGAGCCACCTTCCCAGCCCCTCCATGAGACTTTTATCTCCAGTTAACAACCAGAAAACTGGAAGTGGCACTGTGGTAGAGTGGTAGCCTTGAGCAGAAGAGCTGAGGGACAGCACCCAGGCCCAAGTTCAAGCCCCATGACCTACCAAACAAACAAACCAAAATGGGATGCTAAAAAGAAGGAACAATCAGGGAATAAGGAAGAGCTTTTGGAAATCTAAAATAGAAGAACAAAAAAATCTATATCTATCTATCTATCTGTCTGTCTGTCTGTCTAAACTAAGATAGAGTTGTAGAAATCTCTCAGAAAGTAAAAACAAAAAGATAAAAATAGAAAAAGGAATTATAAGTAGAATGTCCAAATACAATCATCTGACATGATTTTAAAGAGATTCAACAGAAAAAAAAAGGAAAAATAGCTTGTAAAGAATATAAGAAAATTTCTCAAAAGAAGTAAAAGGTAAACATAGCACAAGAAAAGAAAAAAGGAAGGAAAGAAGGAAGAAAGCAGGAAGGAGAGAAGAAGGGAGAGAAGGGAGGGAGGGAAAAGGAGAAAGGAAGGAAGAGGAGGGGAAAGAAGGAGTGCAGGCCAAACATCTCATACTATGTTACTACTGCACATCAACAAGACATTACAGAAAAGTGGTGGTGCTGGGAATTGACCTTACATCACATGCTTGAGTGAATACTCATCACTTGAGTTGTACTTCCAGCTCTGCATTTTTGCTAGTTATTTTGGAGATAGAGTATTTTGGACTTTTCTGTATGGCATATCTTCAAACCATCATCCTTCAGATCTCAGTGTAGCTATATTTAAAGAATATATTTGTAGATTTAATTTTTTAAGTTATAGAGATATGATGAGGAAATTTCTGTAGGAAGCAGGCTTTCTGGTACATTAGCTTACCATGGAATGGAACTAGAAGCTAGGTTCTTGGTCCTGCACTGTCACTTAGAAGGGAGTGTTCCCTTCCACCAGCTCAGCTTCCTTATATACAAAATGCGTGGACGAGATCTTTAAAACTCCTTGCTAGCATCAAAACTCTGTCTTGGGGTTTTCAAAGAATCAAATCATTAACAAATCATGTTTGGCAGTGGTTTAAAAAATAACTGAAGTTCAAAAATGTAACTTGGACTGTGTTTACAAATCCATTTGTCTGCCTCACCCACCGCCTCCTCCTCTGGAGAAAGGGGCCCCAAGCTGGGGTTGCCAGAAAGAGAAAAACTGTAGTTAAACTCCACAAACAGCACCCATGGTTAAAATAGAATTTCAGATAAACAACAAAGCAGAGAAATCAAACCAAGAAGAGAATGAACTTTCATTATTATCTTTTGAAAATCAAACTTAACTAGGCTTGGAGCTCTGTTGTAGCTCTTACTGTGGCATTCTGCTCCTATTGATCTGTATGGGGAGACAGCTGGGCAAGGATTGGGAACCCTGGAAATATCCAGAATGTGGCTGGAGCAGCAGCCTATGAGGGACAGGACCTTTACACAGAGTCCTACCCTTGCATCTAGTCAGAGCCTCTGTACTGATATTTATGGGAGATGGACCAGTGCAAAGAGCGAAGCTGGCTCTTGGAAAAGTCTTGGTGTGCTTCTAGAACTTCTCCAGGACAAGAACCAACGTGCCTAATCCATCTGGTCTTCCTCCTGGTGATGCCTGGCTCAGTGTAGGTTCAGGAGCATCACAGTCCCGCCCTCTCGGTGCTCACTGTCTGCTGGACTAGAGTTCACAGGCTGGCAGGCAGGTGAATGGTGCAGATGGGGGAGAGCTGCTGGGTGCTGGGATCACTCAACATTACTTGCTTGCAGGTGCTGGTACTCAACATTACTTGCTTGCAGGTGCTGGTGCTCAGAGCTCATGCACCTCCTCAGAGCCTCTCAGTGACTGTGAGGTCACCGGTGAGAGAAACTCAGAGAGCTTGAGTAACATGCTTAAGGTCACACAGGTGGTAACTGCAAGAGGATGTTGCTAGGAACAGACTGGACCCCTGCTCTGTTAGGCTCAGAACCAGTCCTTGGCCTCCACCACACTTGGGCAGATGGGGATCCTGCTTTGAAGATGGGATCCTGCCTTGAAGAGGGGAAAGAACCACCCTGCTGTAACCCCAACTCTTGCTGTGTTTTCAGGAGATTAGTTACTTCCAGTTCCCTGGTGAACTCTTGATGAGGATGTTGAAGATGCTGATCCTGCCACTTGTGGTCTCAAGGTAAGAGGCCGGTGGGGAGGGGGCTGGGCTCTGATCGCTGAGGACAGCCTCCTGGGCTCCATGGGATGGCTCCTCTGCCCTCTCCTTGGGAGCGGAGGCAATGGTCCCAGGCTGGGCACCAGGCTAGGCACAGGGCTGTCTTTGGGGAGATTGCTGCTGGCAGAATTAGTCCCTTAGGATTCAACTTTCTCGGCTCTGCTGAAATTTCACCTTCCTCCAAGAAGCTTTCATGACTTCTCAACCCACGCTGGCCAATGCCTGCACTTCATGCAGGAGTCAGTTAGCAAATTGGTGACTCTCTCAAAGTCACTAGCAACCTTCATTCCACTAAGTCCCAAGGACACTTTCTATTCTTGCTCTCTGTGACCTCTCCACAGCACACGACATCACGGAGCACTCTCTACCCTCCTAGGTTACTCCCACTATGGCCATACCTCACCTGGCTTCTGCCTGCTCGGCCCCCCCGTCCGTCTCTTTTCCATTGACTCAGCTTCTCTGCAGGTCACAGGTCTTCAAGCCTGTCCTCACTTAACCTGAAATTGACCACTTGTGTATTGGGCAGCTCACAGGCACTGTGACAAAATACTTCAGGAAATCAACTCTAAAAGGAAAGAGGTTTCAGTTCATTGTCACTTGGCTCCATTTATCTGGGTTGGGGTGTGGGGTGGGGGGTAGGAATGAAGCAGACCAGCATGGCAGGGAGCATTTGGGAAAACAAAGTGTTTACATCATGGAAGCAAAAGGAGAGACAGGAAGGGGCCAGGGACAAGATATACCTTTCAGGGCACACTCTCCCCTCCCATGACCTGCTCTTCCAACTAGGCCTCATCTCCTGAAGTTTCCACCACTGTCTAATATTTTATTAAGTCACAAATTCATCAATGGGATAATCCATTGATTTGGGCAGAGCCCTGATCCAATGGCTTCTCAAGGCCCTGCCTCTTAACACTGCCACAACGGTGACCAAGGCTTCAGTGCATGGACTTTGGGGGGCATTTCTAGTCTAAATCACCACAATCTGTAAGCCCAGCATTTCCAGGGGTAGAGAGCCCCAGGCTTGTCATGTGAGACCCACACTCAATTAACCAACTCCATGCTTACTCACGTTTCACAGGCTTTTCAAGTTTGATGTCACCAACTTAACGTTTTACCCAACACATCATTCCTGTTTCTGCTGTCAGGAAATGGCAGTTCTGTCCAGCCTCTATGGTGGGTCCCCTTTCTCGCCCTAGGCCTGCTGTCACCAACCAGAGCCGGCTCTGCCTCTGAAGTAGAACTCCTCCATCATGCCTCCACAGTCCTGGGGCTCATTCTTCTTCTGGAATCCGCAGTGACTCTACCCATCTCCCCACTTCGGCTTTTATTCCCTGCCGTCCATTTTCTATGGCCAGAATGGTCTCGCGATGCTCAGATTGGGCTGTGGTGTTTATTTACCTTCAGAATCTTCTCTGGTATTTATTTTTATTTTTATTTTTTTTTTTGGGTCCGGTCATGGGGCCTGAACTCTGGGCCTGGGCACTGTCCCTCAGCTCTTCAGCTCAAGGCTAGCACTCTACCACTTGAGCCACAGTGCCACTTCCAGCTTTTTTTTTTCTGCTTATGTGGTGCTGAGGAATCGAACCCAGGGCTTCATGCATGCAAGGCAAGCACTCTACCACTGAGCCACCCTCCCAGCCCTCTTCTCTGGTATTTAAAACAAGCCTTCACCTCACAAGCCTGGTCTAGGAGGTTGTGCATCGTCTGCCACGGCAACTCCCACCTCATCTCGGGTCACATTTAGTCCAGTTGCACTAGCTTTTAGTCTCCCAGGCAGATGAAATCCTGCCTCACCCCAGGGCTTACATGTGTGCTGTGCCTTCTGTCTGGAACATGTTTTCCCACCATTTTACATATCTTTGCTTCTCCTCTTTAGAACTCAATGTACATGCCATCTCCTTAGAAAGACCTTCTCCATCTGGGTTTGGTGGCTCATACCTATAATCCTAGCTACTTCAGAGGATCATGGTTTGAGACCATCCCAGACAAAAGTTCAAGAGATTCTCATCTCAACTAATAAAGTTGGGCATGGTTGGGACTAGTGTCTGTCTCAGCTACTCAGGAAGCATAAATAAGAGGATGTCTCTCAAGGCAAAAAAAAAAAAAATGAAGCCGGGCGCTGGTGGCTCACGCCTGTAATCCTAGCTACTCAGGAGACTGAGATCTGAGGATCGCGGTTCAAAGCCAGCCTGGGCAAGAAAGACCGTGAGACTCCTATCTCCAATAAACCACCAGAAAACCGGAAGTGGCGCTGTAGCTCAAGTGGTAGAGCGCTCGCCTTGAGCTGAAGAGCTGAGGGACAGCGCCCAGGCCCAGAGTTCAAGCCCCATGACCGACAAAAAAAAAAAAAAAAAAAAAAAAAAAAAAAAATGAGACCCTATTCAAAATATAACAAAAACAAAAAGAGACTAGAAACCTGGTTTGAGTAGTAGAACACCTGTATCACAAGTATAAAAGCCTGAGTTCAAATTCCTATACTGCCAAGGAAATAATATCATAAGAAGGGGAATAAAGGAAAAAGAAAGGAAAAGAAAAAAGAGAAAGGCTCCTCCCATCTGTTCCTTTCATACCACCTTGGCACTCCTGCCTGTCCCTGCCTCCTTCCCCTCTCCACCCCCCCCACCCCCATCCCCACCCCCGGCCCCAGCACTGCCATACCTTGTAATTCTGTATGTATTCCCTTGCTGCCTGTCTCTATCTTCGGCTCTACTGGGAATGCCAGCATTCATATAGTTGGTACTCAGAGTACCAGTCTAATGAATTAATTATTGTGATCACACTCCTCCACAGTGTTTTCTGGGGCTGATTCCTGCAGCAGACACTGCCGTCGAGTTGCAGCTGGGCTGCGGTGAGAGAGGTAGAGAAACAGACAACTCCCAGCAGCTGAAATACAGGGGTGGAGGGTGCAGGGGATCCTGCAGGGCAGTGCTATGCTCCATTGCTAAGTCCTCACTGCCAACTCAGACCAGTGACACCACAGAGCCAGAGCCCTCTCTCTGTGTCCACCCTGAAATCCACACACCTGAGTCCCCATGTCAGCTCTGCCACTGGCTAACTGTGTGGTCTTGTGCAAGCCACTTAATTTAAGAAAGAAAATCCTCATGTAGAAGTCTGAGGTCTGGATCCTAGGCCGGCTCCCCCCCCCCCCACCATTGTCATGAGATCTGGGGGGAGGCACCCCCTCCCTGAGCTCTGGGCTCTCTATGAGTCTTGGCTCTCTCCACCAGCCCAGACTGCTTTCCCACAGCTGGCGCTGGAATGTGGTATTAACTTGAGAGAAGCCCGTGTGTTCATACATCTCAGTTGTTTATTATACAGTTTGGGCTGGTACAGAGCAACCATGTCACTGAGAAATGAAAGTGTGTTAACATTTGTCATACCAAGAGAGAAACAAACTTTCATGGGGGGAAAATGATGCTTTTCTGAACTCTGAATCCTCCTTTCTTGATTCTCAAAGGGATCTGTAACCCATCAAGTGATCTACCATTTTTTTCTGGGCATCCCTGCCAATAAGAAGCACTCTTCTTAGCTTACACCAAGGAAAAGGAAAGAAATGTACATATCACTTGATGTGGAAGAAATAGTGGTATTGTCAAAGCTCATAGAATTCACGAACTTTATAGACCATGATAATGACAATTTGCCTTGTGAAGGTTAAAATATGTTTGTGACTTTAACTATCACTATTCCACAATACTGTGAAATATGTGAAATTTATATAATCACCTAATCTCAATTAAAAAATTCTTTTTTAAAAAGGCAGCACTCCCTTTGGTATGGGCATCACCACCAAAGCTGTTTGGCAAATCTACATGTCAAGCCTCACCCTGACTTAATGTACCAATCTGCTGAGGGGCCCAGCAGGGCTGTGCTGTTGTTTTTGCCCTGCTGGTGACTGAACTCCAGACTTCATACATGCTAGGTGAGGTCAGTGCTTTACCACTGAACTACATCTCCAGTGCAGAGTGCTTCTTAAAGACCCATAAGTATTCTGAGATCAGAGTGTTTGTGTGTGTGTGTGTGTGTGTGTGTGTGCGCGTGTGCGTGCGTGCTGGTACTGGGGCTTGAACTCAGGGCCTGAGTATTGTCCCTTAGCTTTGCCATTCAAGGCTGGTGCTCTGCCACATGAGCCACAGCTCCGCTTCCAGTTTTTTGCTGATTAATTGGAGACAAGAGTCTCATAGACTTAACAGCCTGGGCTGGCTTCAAAGGATGATCCTCAGATCGCAGCCTGTTGAGTAGCTAGGATTATAGGCATGCAGCTGAAATCAAAGTTTTAAAAAACCTCATTCTCTTGAGGTCCAGCCATCCTCCATGTGAGTAGCTGAAGAACTTCATAGAGCTGCTGTTCCTTTATTCCTCCTAAAGGCTCTAGGCTGCACCCCCATGAGCCTGGGGCTTTCTGCCCCATGGCCACAGGGCAGGAGAGGACACATATTCAGGCTCATTTGCTTCTAGTTCCAAGTCTGGTCTCCAAAGCTTGGCACTCATGACTGTCTGCTCCTTCCTCATCTCCAGGACGACCTGCTGTTCCCTCCCTACACCAAGCCTGGAATCAGTCTGGCCTTAAGCACACCACATGCTTTCCTGTCTCCACATGTCACTCAGGCTGACCCACTGCTCCCAATGTCCTTTCTTCTCCTAGCTCCGGCTCCTGTCTGTGAAATCTTCCTAGCATCTCATTTGTTGGTAGCTATTGGTGATGGCCTGTCAATGCTTATGAATAACCCTGTGTCATTAAGCAAACAGATTTGAGTCACAGCTTAAGTATTTCCTTAAGAAGTAAAAGCCAAATAACAAATACCAGTGTGTTCCTTCTTGGGGATAAGCACACCTGGCTGGGGACCAGGTCAGCCTATTTCATGCAGAGGCTTCTACCAGTGCTACCAAGGAGATCAGAGGAGTGGAGTGCCTGCCATTGATTCTGCGGCTCTGGTTCCTTCCTCATGGCATCTGTGGATCAC